CTCTCCCAGACTCCAAAGCACCAAGTCAGCAGTGACCCTGCCCTCTCCCCTCACACACAGATTTCCTTTTCCATGCCTCCACACAAATACACCTCTACTCCTGCACCTCTGGGTCTTCTCATCTTACTATTTACCACCAACCTCTATTTTTCAACATTCTCGAAACTTCACGCACTTCTGGATTTAAAACATATTTATCACACAACACTCTCCCCTAAAAGGAGCAAAGATCACTAGACAAAATAAAAAGAGAAATATATCTAACTCCTGTAAGTAAACAAAGCAGTCCTGAAAATAAATACATTTATCATGAGCTTGTCAGTTCCACACCAGTGTTTAAGCTCTGTTCAAATTAGTAAAATATTTGGATCAAGATTTTTAAACTTCAGGTTTTCTGGGGCCGAGCAGCAGCCGTGTGGTCTCTGCAGCAAAGCCAGCCCTGGGGAAACCCCAGCCTGGTACAAAACCACCCACGTATTTTAGCAACACTTGATCTCACTGAATGTCTTTTTTTTTTCTTTTTCCTCCTGTCACCACACCAGCTTCTCAGCAAAGACCACGTTGGGCCTCACACTTGGGTCTCCTCAGAGGGAGAGCTGGAATTCTTACGACCACATTGAGCTGCCCTTCTCCTGAGCCCTGTCCTCCCCCACCAGACAAAGCCCCTCCAAAACCTGCAGGACATTTATAGGGTCTTCCCTGTCTCCAGACCCAAGCACTCATACAGCAATTTAAATTATTTTCACAATATTCAGAGCAGAGAACATCTCCTAGAGATAACTTACCCCCGTCGAGGTGAAACAACATCTAGAAAACCCTCTCAGAAGACTCAGGATTAGTGCAGCAGTAGAGCAAGAGAGGTCCCACCTTCTGTGCTGCAGGAGGAGAGGTTGGGCTGGGGGGAACCCAGCTGCAGGTCGTTGAGCCCTCATTACCCACCTGGGGAAAACCCACCTCCCCAGTAACCAGTGGGCAAAGGGAGGGGCATCTGTTTAATAAGAAAATTCAGCTTTTTTGGTGTCTTGCAGCAAATCCAGCTTTGCTCTCTATTACTATACACTTAATTTTAAGTGGTTTTTTTTGTGTTGGAGTGCAATGTTTAGGATGTGATGACGAGAACACAATTCAGTCTCAGATGAGGCACACGCTGGTGTACGTACCCCAAGGTTAAACCATGTGCATTGACAAGACACAGAAAACACGGCAAAAATCAACTTTTCCTCTTTAAAACGAGCCTAAACAGTATATAAATCACCAGTGCTGCATGCGTCCCCTGGCAAGGAGCTGCTCCTGACAAAGAGGGCTGTCAGACATCAGACAATGCCAGTCCCCTGGAAACAAAGAGAATTATAAGGGCACAGCACCCCATGAAAAAGCCAACACATAACTTATTCTCGCAGCTGATGGAAGATAATGTCATCACGGGGCAGCTGTGGGTGTTGTGTGTGTGCTGATGGGCATGTAGCTCCTGGGTAACTTCCAGATTTATGGAAAAGTCCCCCTAGGCAAGTGCCAGCCTGCACGGAAACTCCAGGGCACAACGGGCTCCAAGTGACCCGCTTGGAACAGCAAAATAAAAAAATAAAGTGCCATGAGCTGTACCTTTCTTTGGTGGAAATGACAGGAGGTCTGCTGGCTCTAACGATGTGATTTAAAGCAGCTGACCAACTGCCCCAAAAGTGTGGGTTTTTTTTTAAAAAAAACAAAGCCAGGTCCTATCAGAGGCAGTAATTAGCGCTCAGGTGTAGCTGAGGTCTTGATGGCTCAAGTTCTTCACCAACTGCCCCAAAAGTGTGGGTTTTTTTTAAAAAAAAACAAAGCCAGGTCATATCAGAGACAGTAATTAGTGCTCAGGTGTAGCTGAGGTCTTGATGGCTGAAGTTCTTCCAGCACAGGAAGGACATGGAGCTGTTGGAGCGGGGCCAGAGGAGGCCATGGAGATGCTGGGAGGGCTGGAGCCCCTCTGCTGGGAGGACAGGCTGAGAGAGTTGGGGGGGTTCAGCCTGGAGAAGGCTCCGGGGAGACCTTGGAGCCCCTTCCAGTCCCTCAAGGGGCTCCAGGAAAGCTGGGGAGGGACTCTGGATGAGGGAGGGGAGCCCTAGGAGGAGGGGGAAGGGTTTCACACTGAAAAAGGGGAGATTGAGCTATTAGTAAGGAAATTTTCACTGTCAGGGTGGTGAGAGCCTGAGACAGGTTGCCCCGAGAAGCTGTGGAGGGGTTCAAGGCCAGGTTGGAGGGGGCTTGGAGCAACCTGGTGTGGTGGGAGATGTCCCTGCCCAGGGCACGAGTGGGACTGTCCAGAGCCCTCTGCAGAGCCTTCCTAGCCTCAAGTAGATCAACACTCCCACCCAACTTGGTGTCACCTGAAAACTTACTGAGGGTGCACTCAATCCCCTCATCCAGATCATTGGTAAAGGCATTAAAGAGAACTGGCCCCAGTACCAAGCCCTGAGGACACCACTGTGACCAATACAAAGCCATATTCTAAAACCTGCACTCTTACATAAGGAGAACTGGCCCCAGTACTGAGCCCTGAGGACCACCCCTGTGACCAATATAAAGCCATATTCTAAAATCTGCACTCTTACATAAAGATGGATCATAAATAAAACAACAAATTCACTGACCTGAACCAAAGTGGTTGAGGATTAGTAATAGACTCCTCCTCACACAATCCTCAATCTGTTAAAATACTGTACTTCTGTCCTACCCACCAAAAAATCATCACCACCCCTCTTACAATTACCTCCTACTGTGGCACAGCTTAAACATGAAGATTCATGGCACTGACAACCACATAAACTTCTCACTTACTGCAAGCAAAAACATTTTTGGTACTTGCTACTTTGACATTTCTACCAGGGAAAAACTATCTCTGAATGGAAACTTCAGGAGCCTTCAGGTGGAAAGAGAAGATCCCAATCACTGCACTGAAGACCTCAAAACACTTAAGTATTTTTAAGTATTAGGAGAGAAAAAAACAACTCTATTTTTTTTCCTTTAATAGGAATTCTGTAGAAAGACTTTTAGCTCCATTCCTCATCTCTCAGGGCACCTAAATGACAAATATTTCACCTATAACATTTCTTTAGCTTTTTGACTACGGTAAGTAACTTCTAGACTTGCATGATTTTGAGCAGAGTCATTCATATTTTGAGCCTGTTGCTAAGTAAAGATACGTGACTTTACATACAACAGCTCTTCTCAGGTGTTCTGTTTCTTTACTCCGGAAAGGAATTAACTGTGTAACACCAAAAGTTGCTTTGTTTTTTATTATCAGAAGTACAGTTCATCACACTGTAGTCCAAACTTTTATTTTGTAGTCACAAGTTCATTAAGGCACAGCGTAGCTCTTTGGATGGGAGGGAAATAGAACTGGAACAGTTCTAGTCTCTTTTGAGAATCAAAACGCATGAGAAAATTTTATTTAGAAAAATATGGGGAGACCACATCTCCTCTCAAAATCTGGCACAAAACACTAGTATTAGCGAAATCAAGGCAAAACTCCCACTTCTCTTCAGTGAGATTTTTTGCCTCAAATGGTTGAAGCCATTTGAAAAGTCACTGTAAAAGCCCTTCCCAGGGTGAACCTGTAAAGGACACAAACTCAAAAACTAGTGGCCCAAGCTAAATTTGGAGAGCTGCCCGACAGCTCCCACCCCTTATAAACCACAGAAAGGCAAGAACAGCACAGTCACCAAAAGAAAAAACAGCATCGAGTCTCTTCAATATAGTTAAAATATATGTGAACCATTCACAGAATTTATTTTTCCAATCCTTGTCCAACAAAGCTCTCCACAAGACTGCACTCTACAGTCCAGCGAGACACTAACCCTCTTTTATCAAATGAGCTAATTTGTGTTCTGCAAAATAACTGTATTTTGCAAACAGACAAGACACATTGCAGCTTCTCAAGCTTTTTTAATCCTTTTGATGAGAACGAGAGGAAAAAAAAAAAAATATCAATAAAAGACTTTGAAGTAATACAGCTTTCTTGGACAGTAGAGAGGAGGTCAAGAACTTGGGCTCTGGAAATACAGCATAAATTCCACGACAAATAGTCCCTGCCTCAACAGCCAAACACTTCAACCTGGGAATGTGCACAGCCTAGAGCCAAGAGCGATGACAACGGTGGTAGGGGAGCAAGATCACCTCCCAACTGCTGGCTTAGCAAGTGAGTTTACAGTAAACAGCACTCACTTCTTCAGCAGAAAGTCTTCCTCACTTCCACCTCCGTGATCCAGCAGTTAAGGGCTTGCAGAAATCATTAACAAGGACAGGTAGAGGCACTTGGTAAAGGATCCGGTTCTAAACCCATTAAAGCCAATAAAAAGACTTTGGTGGTAACTGGCTTAGACCCTGAGTAGGGAATAGAAGCAGTACACAAACCTAGGACAAGTTTTAAATCCGTAAATGTTAGTTGACATTGGAAAAAGACACAATGATTAAAAACCCTGTCTCTCTGACAGGAGGCTAAACCTCTCAAGATCATCTTGTGCATGCATTAGCTAGAAAAAAGTTCACTACATTTTGAGGGAGTCAAGCCTGAAGGATTCTCACTGTTGCCTGAACGGGCACAGCTACTGCTGTATTAATAAAAATTAACAAACAGCCCCCATAACTGACTGTAATGAGATTAAAATCTCGTTTATTACTTGGTCTCTGGAGTGAGGCTGCCAACAGAGCTTCGGAATTTCAGGTGCCTTCAATGTTCTTCACTATTCTTCCACCACCAGTAACTTCAACTGACCCCATTGTTTTTAGGATACCTGAAGAGACAGACTAGTTTACTCAAACCTTCCTGTTGAAATATTTTTATAATTGATCATAATTGCAGGAGACAGACTAGTTTACTCAAACCTTCCTGTGGAAATATTTTTATAATTGATCATAATTGCTCTTTGCGCAGGCATTTCAAAATTGCACAGAGACAAGTCTAAATTGCACCCAAGTACAGGAAAACAATTATGACATCCAAGCATTGTCCTATTATCTCTTTCTTCTTTACCACAGTGTATTTAATGACCTAAGAAAGTTACAAAAGCAACTTTAAATTACATTTACATATATAAACTAATTAAATATATTTAGCTAACACTGAGAAAAGAAAATCCCAAGCAATATAAAGACAAAAAAACACAATGAGATGACTGATTCTAGAATAATTTAAGACTTTTTATCATCTCTGGATGTAGCAATCGAGTGAACACTCCCCTACTGAAGTATTACTTGTAGTTAGAGCACCACCGAAAGCTCATCTTATTATTCTCATTTTAGAACAGTGAAGGAGCAATTAGTCTGGCATTAACTTCTGCAGTTTTTAATTAAGATCTATATTCTGGGAGAACAATTTTATTACTTACTCCACTTTTTTTTGGCTGCTTATTTCAGTAAGCAGCAAAATTCCTAGAAACTTCAGCGGCATTGGGATTTTTAATACCAAAAGCACAGATTTGTTAAGACACCAGAAGACAAAAATGGTTAAGAAGCGTGGCTTGGAAGATAATATTAAAAAAAAAAAAAGATATGCAGATAGCTATGTACATGTATGTTTAAACTCATTCAAGATGAAGGAAACTCACAGCTTAAAATTCATGTGGCACGTTAAGGTATCCGGTTGAACGCTGTCAATTAATTTTCTAGTCACATGTGGTGGACACATATTCACAAAGACTAAAATAAATAACAGCTACTTTATTACCTAAGAATACTTTAAAGTGTGGTATTTCCTGACAACGCTTAGAGAGAGAATCATCAAGTAAAAGAACGCAAAGGTCGTAAGAACTTGTGAAACCCTGATGACTTCCTAATTTCCACTTAGTTTTCTCATGATGGGGCTGTCGGGTTCAGCGTTAGTGAAAATACTTCCTACAACCACGTGAGTGCCCCAGATGTTGTGACGAATAACTTTGCAGCAGCCGAGATCATCAACGGAAAATCCCAAGTGGCGGTAGCGTTCGTCTGTTTCAAACAGAGTGTTGTTTGTGTAAGGTCCAAAAAACTAGGTGGAAAAAAGAAAAAAAAATAGTTCTTTCCTGTGAACGTTTCCAAGAGTATTTAAAGTGTCAGAACTATCCCTTTTTAAAACCAAACCCAAGCCCAGAAGTACCAGTTATGACTGCTGGAGGAAATTTTATGTAGTTTTATTCATGAAATCTACACAGGAAACTAAGTGGAGCAGTTCTGGTTATACTGGTAGCCCATATTTAAAGATTTCTACTTCTACAGGCACTAAGGATAGAACCCCTCTGTGAAAACAGCAAAAAAAAGACAAGTACCTTATCAATGAACCCCCTTATCAATGAGCTCCTTGAAGGATCTTTTATGAAAGATGCTTTGAGGAGCAAAAATGTGTATAAATTGGAAACAGGTATTTCAGTTGCTTTATCTCAGGAGGAAGCTTCTGACCAGAAGCCTACTACTCCTGATGAACAGGTTATTGGTCAGGTTGTTACCACTGAATTGGAGCCCAGAGACAGAACCCTTCTTTCATCAATCCGTAACTATTCCATAAATGCATGGAACTTTTGGGAAGCTTTTAAGCCCTAGAGACACCTTCAACTGCCTATTCACCTTGTAAACACCCCCTGTTAAATGCTGTTGCCTCTACTGACCCAATAAATCACTGCCTTTCACAGTGTTTTTATTTAAAAATTTTAAAGTGTCAGAACTATCCCTTTTTAAAACCAAACCCAAGCCCAGAAGTACCAGTTATGACTGCTGGAGGAAATTTTATGTAGTTTTATTCATGAAATCTACACAGGAAACTAAGTGGAGCAGTTCTGGTTATACTGGTAGCCCATATTTAAAGATTTCTACTTCTACAGGCACTAAGGATAGAACCCCTCTGTGAAAACAGCAAAAAAAAGACAAGTACCTTATCAATGAACCCCCTTATCAATGAGCTCCTTGAAGGATCTTTTATGAAAGATGCTTTGAGGAGCAAAAATGTGTATAAATTGGAAACAGGTATTTCAGTTGCTTTATCTCAGGAGGAAGCTTCTGACCAGAAGCCTACTACTCCTGATGAACAGGTTATTGGTCAGGTTGTTACCACTGAATTGGAGCCCAGAGACAGAACCCTTCTTTCATCAATCCGTAACTATTCCATAAATGCATGGAACTTTTGGGAAGCTTTTAAGCCCTATACACACCTTCAACTGCCTATTCACCTTGTAAACACCCCCTGTTAAATGCTGTTGCCTCTACTGACCCAATAAATCACTGCCTTTCACAGTGTTTTTATTTAAAAATGCACTAAACAGCTTTGCCATGGTTATGTTTATGATATGGGTTTAACAGTTAGCTTCTATCAAAGCTTGAGCATATATGTATTTTTGTCTGAGAACTTTCTCAATTCTCCCTCATAAGTTTTAAGACTCTGTCATGTTTTGCAGGTGTCTTGGTAAGAAACTGTCAGCTCCTCCAGAGAACTGGTGTAATCTGATAATAAATGCCAAGGCTGTTTAATAGGAACAAGCTATTCATTTTCTCTGCGTAACAAAGATATAATTAATTGAGTGCAAAAAGACCTTTTCAAACCCTCCATCTACACAAACAGGTATCAGGACACCAGGTCACATTGGTAGGGTAAAGCCAGCCTGTAGTACACTGACCAGGAGCTTTTGGGCATAAAATTTCTACAATTACCCCAAAATTCAGCTTCTTTGGAGAACAATGTTCTCCAAAACGCCAACTGCAACGACAGCTGACACAGTGTGGGAACAGGCCCATATCATACCTTAATTTATCTTAACAGCTTTGGGGCAACATGGAAAAGTTGGATTTAACCCATAAAGAACACAAATACCACTGCTAATTAGGAACACAACAGCATCCATTGCATATTCCACACAGCACATAACTTACTGCCAGTCCTGAGGTTGGATCAATGAAGTCAGCCCAATAGCCTTCAGAACAAATTGCATAGCAAATTTCCTTGGCACCATTAATGAACTTAAAACAAAATAAAGAAAAAAAAGGATATCAAATGGGACTTTCGTTACGTACACATCAGAACACATATAAAATACTCCAAAATGAGGAAGCATAGATTTCTTTTGGCCTCCACTAATAAATGAGAAATTCAGCATACTTGCAATAAAAATATTAATAATATTAAGAGGATTAGAATGGCATACATTAGGCTACTCCAATCACGTGAGATTTAAAAGTGTTCCTTGTGCCAGTCAGTAATGGATTAACAGCTTCTACAAGGAATAATATAATTGCTTTGATTATTCATGCAGATTGCAATCATACCTGTTATCCTCTTTAAGAAGTCAACCATTACTGCAGGTATTCCTGCGTTATTTCCACGAGTTTACAGATCTCACCTAAACTCCACAAATTCAACACTAGATGTAGCATTAAATATATTTTTATAAATATATGAAAAATACAGTTTTGCTGTAAGGTCTTATCTCAGCCAACAGGACAGTTCTTATATAGTTCTTCCTGCACTAAATAAAGTTTTAGTTCTGCATCATGGCAGCAAACACTTCCATAAGCAGTTGACTGTTACACCAATCTACATGAATTTTGTAAGGTCTTATCTCAGCCAACAGGACAGTATTATGTAGTTCTTCCTGCACTAAATAAAGTTTAAGTTCTGCATCATGGCAGCAAACGCTTCCATAAGCACTTGACTGTTATACCAATCTTGTTGTAATTAACCAGTGGTCAGGATGAAGGATGATTTCAAACTCTCCCTCTATTTAACAATCAAAGTTGTAGGTCATGTTTCAGTTACACCAGCTGATGTTCCTGAAAATAGCAACATGCCAAGAAGTTTCCTATTCTGTAATGTGTCAAAAAACTCCCTTCTCTGAAGAGACAGTTAAAAGAATCTAACTTTTTTTTTTAGCAAACATCTCACATCAGCTACTTTGATAACTTAAGCTTGTATTTTAAAAAATCTTTGGTGTTCAGTTGCAGTTATTTGTTAGTCAGATATGGGAAGAAAATTCAACCAGGTAGATTTAACACTGTGCTCTGACATCACAACACAGAGCACAAAATAATTACACAACCTACAGATTACACAGCACATTTTTTCCACAGGTAAATCAGCAAGAACAGGAGACCTCAGTGATGTGCTTTTAATCACTTAGACAAGCAGTTTTCAACCTGTGTTATGAGGGCCAGCAGGGCCCCACAGAAAACATCTGAAGAAGCCTGCCAAGGTGAGTGGGGAAAAAAAAAACCAGAAAAAAAAGTCAAGATACATGATGGTTCTAAAATCACCCATACACTCTGAGAAAAACACATCCAAGTGCAAAAATCTAAACAGCTGAATACACTGGTTTAGAGTAAAGCACAAATAGAACTCACACAGCTTCCTCAAAACGTGAAAAAAATTTCCTAATCTCATTAAAAAAATATTTTAACTTCAGAATAAATGAATATTTCAGTGCCCTTGGTAGCACAAGGTTTCAAGTTTATAGAAATATTACAGTTACCCAGCTTCAGTTCCTCAATGGTCCAAAATATGGGATGTTTATCCTTTACAGCAACCTGTTCTGTATTTTGAAATTCGATGGCTCTGATGATTAACTATGCTTCAACTGTAAATTAAGTCACTAGTGTAAGCAAACCACCTGAAGACAGTATTTTAGGCATTTCTGATGCAGTACATCTTTTGATCCAGTGCTGCAACAACCCCTCGGCAATCACTTCAAGTGAGGTTAATAAACACTTGAGATTCACCACTGTAAACACTGAGATTTGGCTGTAAATAACCCTCATTACTTTAGCACAAGCCTCTCACATTAAATTAGTATTTTTAAGGTTACTTCTAACCATCTCTGAAGCAAACAAACAGACCATTTTCTTGTGAATTTGCTGTTAGTAACCTTTAGGCCAGGAGGTTACATCCAACATCCTAACACCCCTACAATGACTATATTAGACTTGACAGGGAGGTGCACAAGGAAGAAAGATGCCAATTAACATATAATTAGACCAGATTACAAGGCCAAAGACCAACAGACCAGAAATAATTCAAAGAGAAGAACACACTAAAATGAAGGGAATTTTAATTTGTGTGTAATCTTTACGTTGATCCTTTAGACTGCTTCTTCCTTTTTGTATGGTAACCCTTACACTGCTTTACACAGGCCACACTTGCAGTTTACAGTAGTGAAAAGTGAAAATTGGACTATTTTCCAATTCATGTGACCTTCAATATACAGACGTTGATCCTTTAGACTGCTTCTTCCTTTTTGTGGGGTAACCCTTACACTGCTTTACAGAGGCCACACTTGCAGTTTACAGCAGTGAAAAGGACATTACTGGACTATTTTCCAATTCATATGACCCTCAATATATAATATGAGGGCCAGCAGGGCCCCACAGAAAACAATCTGAAGAAGCCTGCAAAGGTGAGTGGAAAAAAAGAACCAACAGAAAAAAAGGTGAAGATATGTGATGGTTCTAAAACCACCCATACACTCTGAGAAAAACATGTCCAAGTGCAAAAATCTAAACAGCTGAATACACTGGTCTAGAGTAAAGCACAAACAGAACTCATACAGCTTCCTCAAAACGTGAAAAAAATTTCCTAATCTCATAAAAAAATATTTTAACTTCAGAATAAATGAATACTTCAGTGCCCTTGGTAGCACAAGGTTTTAAGTTTATAGAAATATTACAGTTACCCAGCTTCAGTTCCTCAGTGGTCCAAAATATGGGATGTTTATCCTTTACAGCAACCTGTTCTGTATTTTGAAATTCGATGGCTCTGATGATTAACTATGCTTCAACTGTAAATTAAGTCACTAGTGTAAGCAAACCACCTGAAGACAGTATTTTAGGCATTTCTGATGCAGTACATCTTTTGATCCAGTGCTGCAACAACCCCTCGGCAATCACTTCAAGTGAGGTTAATAAACACTTGAGATTCACCACTGTAAACACTGAGATTTGGCTGTAAATAACCCTCATTACTTTAGCACAAGCCTCTCACATTAAATTAGTATTTTTAAGGTTACTTCTAACCATCTCTGAAGCAAACAAACAGACCATTTTCTTGTGAATTTGCTGTTAGTAACCTTTAGGCCAGGAGGTTACATCCAACATCCTAACACCCCTACAATGACTATATTAGACTTGACAGGGAGGTGCACAAGGAAGAAAGATGCCAATTAACATATAATTAGACCAGATTACAAGGCCAAAGACCAACAGACCAGAAATAATTCAAAGAGAAGAACACACTAAAATGAAGGGAATTTTAATTTGTGTGTAATCTTTACGTTGATCCTTTAGACTGCTTCTTCCTTTTTGTGGGGTAACCCTTACACTGCTTTACAGAGGCCACACTTGCAGTTTACAGCAGTGAAAAGGACATTACTGGACTATTTTCCAATTCATATGACCCTCAATATATAAATGACAATCCCACAGGATGATTTTTATTAGTTTTAGAAAAATTTTAACGGATAATATATAGAAATGTTGTATTTTGAGATGCTAAGAAGGTCGGGTGGTGAACACTGACACCTGCTGGTGCACACACAGAAAAATAAGTTTGAAGAATGTGAAATAAAGTGATTGTCAGAGAGACCTCTAGTGGCAACAGAACAAGACAAAGTTCATGAGGATGGCTAAGATGCAAGAAATATAACTCATACTCAAGCTAAAAGCATTAGCTAGATCCATTATCAGAATGGAAAACTCAGAGCAACCACTTCTTACAAGTAAGGACACGCTCATGGACAGACTCCGTACTGGAATCTCAGTTAAGCCACAGAAAAATAAAGAGGGAAGAGAAATCCTACAAAATAAGTTGTACTAAAGCTGGAGTAAGTTGAGAATACAAGCCACAGAAAAATAAAGAGGGAAGAGAAAAATGAGTTGTACTAAAGCTGAAATAAGTTGAGAATATAGTTGCTGCCCTTTAACTGCAACAGGACAACAATCAAGTGCCTTTTAATAATTTACTGTAGCATTTTACAACATTTTAGCATACTTTTGACTCACCCGAGTATAAAGAATGTAATAGTTGTATGAGACATGTACACTAAAATGAAGGGAATTTTAATTTGTGTGTAATCTTTACGTTGATCCTTTAGACTGCTTCTTCCTTTTTGTGGGGTAACCCTTACACTGCTTTACAGAGGCCACACTTGCAGTTTACAGCAGTGAAAAGGACATTACTGGACTATTTTCCAATTCATATGACCCTCAATATATAAATGACAATCCCACAGGATGATTTTTATTAGTTTTAGAAAAATTTTAACGGATAATATATAGAAATGTTGTATTTTGAGATGCTAAGAAGGTCGGGTGGTGAACACTGACACCTGCTGGCGAACACACAGAAAAATAAGTTTGAAGAATGTGAAATAAAGTGATTGTCAGAGAGACCTCTGGTGGCAACAGAACAAGACAAAGTTCATGAGGATGGCTAAGATGCAAGAAATATAACTCATACTCAAGCTAAAAGCATTAGCTAGATCCATTATCAGAATGGAAAACTCAGAGCAACCACTTCTTACAAGTAAGGACACGCTCATGGACAGACTCCGTACTGGAATCTCAGTTAAGCCACAGAAAAATAAAGAGGGAAGAGAAATCCTACAAAATAAGTTGTACTAAAGCTGGAGTAAGTTGAGAATACAGTTGCTGCCCTTTAACTGCAACAGGACAACAATCAAGTGCCTTTTAATAATTTACTGTAGCATTTTACAACATTTTAGCATATTTTTGACTCACCCGACTATAAAGAATTTAATAGTTGTATGAGACACGTGTAGAGTAGTCAAAAAGCTACAAAGCTGGACGTTACCTCCATTTTATCAGTAAAAGTACATAGTAGCTCAAAAACACTTTAAAAAGTAAAATGCTATATTCCTACCAGAGCTACAAATGGAGCAAAATAAGTAGTTCACAGAAGATTCATCTACAAACAAAAACAAGCTGATGCTACTGTCAGCTACTTACATTTTCTACCAGCATTTCTCTCTCATCCTCCACTTCCTGACTCCATACAGTCATATCATTTTTAGTCTTCTGGGTAACAGTTAATACTGTTAAACGGTTGGCATTCACTTCTGGAAACATTGATTCAAAGTCTAAAAAAAAAAATAAAATAAATTGAAATCAGCATGTTATGGCCTGCTCTTATATTTTACTTACAATTTTTCTGTTTTTGACAAAGTATTGACCCTACTTTAGAGCCTTCCTTTCATTTAAAACCAAGATAGATGTGTGTTTTTAATGTCACAACCAGCAAACAGCATGCTGGTTTGAAATGCTGACTTTGCTTTTGTAGGAACTAAAGCATCTCAGTAAGGTTCTGTTAAAAGCAACTCAAGCAATGGAGTTTGCTATTCCAGGATCTCTAATTGCAAGATGATAAAAGCCCTGCTACTCTGCATATTTCAGGACGTGCAGACAAGTGTCTTCTCTTGCAAAGATATAACAAGTATAGTAATGTTTTAGTATTTTTAATTGAACACCTCCACAGTTCTCCACACACATTAAGATGTGAACACTCTTTATTTTCTGACTAAGCCACGTGGAATGATACACACTGATTTTTACATTAAATCTGTTTGTTGAAATGCCTCAGATCCCCTTCGTAGGTAGTAGTGTACTGTGGGCATGAGTTGTGACAGTTCTTCCCCTGTGAAGGAGAAGGCCCAAGCCATCATGATTCTCTCTTTACATGATCTACTGGACAACAGGCTTCATGGACCTTTATTTTCAGCATGGAAGGAAAAAACACTTTCCAATATTAAAAGTCCGAAGTTCACTTTTCTTACTCTCTGCAAATTCTGCTCTCTTCAGCATCTAGACCAAGATTTCCGCCAGATTTCAGTATATCACTTTTAAAATTAGAAGATTTTATCCCAATTTTATTTCAATCATTTCCTCCTTGAACAAATTAAAGACAGATACAAAAGAAATTCTTTCCATAGTTTAATAATTTCTATTTTCTATTTTACTGAAAAGCAGTGCTAAAAGATTTGATTTTGTTACAAACTGTTTTTTTGGGCAATGAATTGGCTCCAGAATCTACCAGATAGTAAGAAAACAGGCAAAAGTTAGTCCCCACCCCAGCTGATCTTGAATTTAAACGCTACTGAATTCAGTTTCAGTTTTCATTTTATAGCATGCATTTTTCTTTCGTGAAATAACAAATTAAAGACAGATACAAAAGAAATTCTTTCCATAGTTTAATAATTTCTATTTTCTATTTTACTGAAAAGCAGTGCTAAAAGATTTGATTTTGTTACAAACTGTTTTTTTGGGCAATGAATTGGCTCCAGAATCTACCAGATAGTAAGAAAACAGGCAAAAGTTAGTCCCCACCCCAGCTGATCTTGAATTTAAATGCCACTGAATTCAGTTTTGGTTTTCATTTTATAGCATGCATTTTTCTTTCGTGAATTATTAACTCTGGATTACCCTTTTCTCTGACTCAGAGCATTTATGTACATATTTTCACATTTTAAAAAGTTGTAATTTCTTAGCTACCCCAAAAAAGTGGAAATATACCTTTTCGTAACAGTCCCCACCCCAGCTGATCTTGAATTTAAATGCCACTGAATTCAGTTTTGGTTTTCATTTTATAGCATGCATTTTTCTTTCGTGAATTATTAACTCTGGATTACCCTTTTCTCTGACTCAGAGCATTTATGTACATATTTTCACATTTTAAAAAGTTGTAATTTCTTAGCTACCCCAAAAAAGTGGAAATATACCTTTTCGTAACAGCTCAGGACAAGCTTGTACCGCACATTCTACCTTGGCATTTTCAAAGTAAGTTTCAGCGCTATTTATTTGCTGTTTCTGAGGAACATCAGCACCCTGAGAAAAACAAAAACTGTGACTTTCCCATTCGTTACTGTGTACCAGGAATAACAATATACAAATATAAAACAATACAATATAAAAAACTTTTAAGCTTTATGTATTATCGTCACTGTATTACCTCATAGCCTTAAGCAATATAGAAATTTTTGAAAAAATTTGAAACAATGGCCTCAAGTATTCAATACAACTGCAATTGACAGATTTCAGACACCCACACATTACCCAACTAAAATAAAACTTTATTTTAAAGTTACACAACAGTTCTAGAGCGCTGAACTACCAGTATTTTCAGCTTTAGCTTGAAAAGCTAAAAGCAGAAAAAATGCTAACTGGAGAAGCAGAACCGTTTTCCAGTAATACCATTTTTATTCTTTACAGCTTTTTAGTTCTCCAGTTTCTAAAAAGAAAAAAAAACCCCAACCCAAAATAAACAACCTCCCCTAAACTCTAGATTCTTGTGGTTAAGTAATAAATGGGGCACCTGTAAGTTAGATATATAGCATTTAAGCTTAAAAAGCCCTTAAGAAGGTATTAACAGCAGTTGCCTCCTTTGGGATACCAATTACTACGTAATAGGTGTAGAATGCCCTAATACAGTTTTTCTAGCTCTAACCATGACATAACTTACAAGGAATTTCAGTTAAGTTTCTCTACAACCGAAATGAACTACTCAACATTGTAATTAAGTCCTACCTAATGCCTGCCTTTGTCCAAAACTTCTCCCTAGAGGAAAACTATTACATTGAAAACAGTGTGGCTAGCATTTTTATTCCAGAAGTTAGTATTAAAGAATAGGGAAGAAAATAGCCCAAAAAACCCAACAAAAAAAACCCAAAACAACAACAGACAAACAACAGACACGAAGTGCAGTTTCAATACATGTGTTTCTATATCTTTCTTGTATTATTATTGCAAAGTCCTTGGGACAAATCAGTTGGTATTTTAAGGCAGACAAACCACGCAGTGGTTTGGTAAATCCCTTTTCTTCCTAACTATAGGGTGCTGTTCTTACCAAGAATGGTAGTTCATTGTGATTTCTTGCCTACTACTCCCGTTCTATCCAGCTAAACACCACCTCCATAGCCCGTACGCCCAGTAGACACACTGTCATCAAGAGACTATGACCATTTTCCAAAGATCGACACCACTTTCTCACAGTGCTAAGCTGACAAGCTGACTCTTGTTGACTGCTTCCTGAACACCACTTGCAAAACCTGTCTCTGCTCTTTCCAGTTTCTCCCTTTCCTTTCAGACAAGTTGCCCCAGGCGTTTTACTGTACAAGAAATATTGATGGAAAGTGAATGTGCATTCAGTGCACCTGGTTTGCACGAAACAAACAGAAGACTAGAATTTTCTCTTGGGCTTTTAACAGAAAGCGCGATCCACACAAGCTGAAAACAGAACCTGGGGAGCTCACTAGAAGCTTTGTATTCCAAAATGTTCAGAAAACACATGTTACATTTAAAAAAAAGAAACAAAAGCAAAGCCCACCACTATCCAGCATTTTTACAATGGAGATTTGCGAGCTGACTTCCAGTGCCTGAGCATGTCACAAATTCAGAGAGCCTGGAAAGCTGAGTCAGCAGCCAGCAGCACCAAACATCTGTCAAAATGCTGCTATGGCACTAGCAATTATCAAGCTGCTTGTTGTTAATAATGCATCTGACTGGCTGCAATCTCTGTCATCACCAAAACGCAGTCTCATTGTGAAGCCTGAAGTACCTCGATCTGCCGCTGATGGCTGTCAGAACTAAGCAGGCAGACCTTAAACACCCTCCAAACTATGTAAGTTCAGATCCATTCCATGAAATACTGAAGAAACTACCAATTCCATTTGATAAAAGGTGGGGAGAGACTTGAAACAGCAAGTTTTGAAACAGAAGTTTTCTTTTCCCATACCCATAAATTAAGTCACTAATAAAATGCTACCTCACCAAGCACTGCTTAGTCAAAAAGCCACACCCTGAAATATTTCCTTCTCCTAAAAGAGAAAACTTCAGCTAGGTTCTATGCAGTATCTATTCATCCCAGTCAAAGTTCATCTTTCAAAACCATCTAGAAAATCAACAATCTCTTTTTTCAGGAGGAAGATAGATTAGTTATGTTTCTCTTAGACAAGAAATACCAGTTTCACATAGATGAAGCCTGTTCTTACCTGAAATTCATTTATGTATTGTGCCATTACAAATTCATGCCTTTCACTTGCTGAAGGCTCTGCTAATATATCAGGCAAACTTTTGGAAACTTGGTTTTTCTTCTGAGAAGCAGTGCCATTTAGGTGACAGTCAAACCCGATATTACCAGGCAACTGGAATCTCTGGTCCTGAGGACCAAATGGACCCATTACTTCATCCGGCCACACAGTTCTTGGACCTGAAAAAGTCAAGCCCTTGCTTTAGTCATCACATCTAAAAGGAAAGAAAAAAAAAAACCAGAAAAACAAAGAGAAGAAAAATCCACTCCCATATATCTGTATTTGATCACAATCACATATAACCAAAGTAGCCACAATGCACAAGTAAAAATAAGGCCCCTGACACAAAAAGCACACTTCAGAATCCCCAAATTTATATAGGGTACAAATTTCTGATAGCACACAAATTCAAAGAAAATGAATTTGCTTTTTCTTACATAAATCAGGAGGTGTAGCAGCGACATGAGGCTCATCTGAGCCAGAGGAACCTGCTGTAGAAAAAGCCTTGGGATTTACAACTCTTTTGACTAAGGAATAAAACCCTGGTAGGTAGGTGACCAATCTTGCTCTGTTACAGAGCACCTGAGAAGACAAAAACAAAATAAGTATTACACACTGCTAGCAAAAATACTAGTTTAAGTACAGCTTTGTGGATCACAAGACAAAACCTCACTCAGTTATCAAATTACAGTTTTAATTATGATGAACTTTGTTTTTGTAAAATCAAGTTTTAAGAGTATTTTGTTATTACTTTTCTATTTTACTAGTAATAGCATTCTAAATAAAGGAAAAGCCTTGAAAATACTTATTGAAAGGCCTTCTCATGTGAGGAAAAAAAACCTGAGAAGTTTAAATAGCACCATGGAAACTCCACAATTTTGGATAGGGATCATTTCCATGATTATTTCCATGCATGCCATTGTTTCCATGATTATCACATTTCCGTTGTGGGACTGATTATCAGAAATAACTAGAAATGTTGTTAATTAAGTAAATGCTGATACTGGAGATGTTTAACTTGAAGGCTAGCTCAAATGTTAGCCAGCTTATACTCCTACTTCTTAAAAGACTGGAGAGAGACACAATATAGTATCACTGCATATGAAAATAGGTAGGTATGCTAATTTCAGCTTCTTTCCTTTGCTCTCAAAACCCATAAATATTTAAGATGTGCAAAACTGAAGTTAGTGTGGCCAATGTCATTTAGATTCCCAAACTTGGTACATTCACTTATTTATAAACAAGCGTTACTGCAATTGGACCAGCATCGTGGGGAAGATGCCAAAAAGCCACAAAACCTTTATGAATTCTGTGGTCTTGGAATACACCAGAAAATTTGCTTCCCACCATAAAGTTCTACTGTCAACCTAACTTTCAACTGCTGAAGATGATTCTATTGGATGCTTGTTCAGCCACACTGCAAACAGAAAATGATGCAACGCTGTCTCCCCGAGGATGTAAATGGTCTTAACAACAGGGCTCCACAGAGCTCGTACCTCCTCACCAGAGAGATTAACTCTGAGGCCAAATAATATTATCTTACCTAGTAATATTGATGTATTGAGCAACTGTTACAGGGGGGGGGGGGAAGGGGTGTGTGTGTGTTTGTTGTGTAGTGGGGTTTTTTTGCCAGGTGATGCGATTAAACTGAAACATCCGATCTATTTTTTTTATACTTTAAAAATAGATTGACAACTGTCATGATGCATTTACACAGACACAACAGAAAAATAACAACTCATACACTCAAAGCAGAGAGTTGAAAGGGCAATTAGAAAATAATTAAAGAATGCTTAACTCTAGTAAAAAACTACCAATGCTCTTGCATACAGCTGCACAAAAACATGCTGGAAAATATACATCCCACCTACCATTGCACGTGTGCTTTTGTAAACCTTTATTTTCCAGGTGAGAGAAAGAAATTCTTTTGAGAAACTGACATAAAGGGATTTACTCTGTGCTGTATTCTTGATTCTATAAAAGTTTATGTGTGTGTTTGCCACTAAACATGTATGCAACAAGGTTACTTCAGAAAGAGTTAAATAATGGTACTATTTGTATGTTTAAAATAAAAACTCTATTCAGACCTAAGCCAATAAGCATGTTTCTTACGTACCCCTTCTGCATAAATGTACGTTTAATAAGTTCTGTCAACATTGTGAAGACTCAAATGCATAAAGGCACGTTTGATTTTAGGACTTAAATCAAATATTTACAAGTTAAGGCCTGAAGCTGCCTAGTTCTAAAATACTGCTAGGTTTAAGAAGTTCCTGTAACAACAACAAAAGTCTGCCGATTCCACTTAAACGCTTCTTCCTCTATTATGTAAAAGCACTATTGAAATTAGCTTTTGCATAATGATTACATTGCAGGTAAAACAGATGTAAACAATCACAGCTGACACGCAATTACAAGAAAAGAGCATTTTTCCTTATAATCAGCATCACTTAACGCGGAGATGTCAGCGTTAATTACAGGCGTGTTGACTGCGCTCCCTTACGCAAATATTTACACACCGCGCATTACCCAAGCGAAAAAAACACCGCTGAAATCAATACATTATTCATGTCTCCATGGCAAAACCGAATCAATAAAGGGCGTTTTATTCTTCTGTCTGAAAAGAGCTTGGTGAACTCGAGTGTTTCATCTTATGACATTAAATATAAATAAACGAAACCAAAACCAGCCGGATCCCGCTCAACCCTCTTAGTTACTCACATTGGCCATTGCAGACGGCGGACTCCTCTCTCCGACAGGCCCCTGGAAGAGAAGCGAACTCACTGGGGCCTCCGAGGCACCGGCCGGACCGGGGCTGCCCCCTCCCTCACCCCCCGGCCCCACAGAGGCCTCGCCTCCTGCCCGCCCCCTCCCGCTTCCCCGACAACGCCCCCGCAAACCACCGCCGGGCTGCCCGCTCGTTACAGGCGCGGCCGCCCGCGGCTAAGGCTGCCAGCGACGGGAGGGGAGTGAAAAACACCAGGGGCACCGGAGCCGCCGCCCCGCCAGCCCCTCTCACCTCTTCCTGCAAAATGGCGCCGGCCGCCCTCCCCGGCGCGACGCACCCTCGCGACGGGCGTGCGTCCCGCCCGTGGCCAAGCCGAGCGAGACGATCCACCGACACCTCGATTAGCGGTGCCGAGGGAGCAGGCACAGAGAGAGGCGGGGCGAGCCGTTCGGCGGTCGATTGGTTGGGTCGGCGGGAAGGCACGGAGAGGAGCGGCAGGGGCCGGCGGGCGGTGTGTTGCGGCGGGGCCGGCGGCGGCGGCGCCTCAGGGCGGTCGGTCGGTCGGTCGCACCCGGGACGGGGGTTTCTCCTTGTCTCGGTGCCGTGTCTCCTCGGGGTTGCGGGGTCCGCACCGGCTCGCCCCTCACCGGCGGTGCAGTACCTGTCGGGTGCGCCAGGAGTCAGTCATGTCACGCCCGCCGGGCTGCAGGCACACCGCCCCCCCCACCGCCGGGGCTCTGTGGGGCCGGGGGGTGCGGTGAAATCGAAAATGAATAAAAGAAGGTGTGTTTTTATTGAAAGAAACGCGGGGAGGGGGTTCTCAGCAAGGCCCGGGGGTTTCCGGGCAGTTGGTGAGCACTAGTGGCACTTCTGCTGACAAAGCTGCTCCTCCCAGGGCGGCATGGAGCTCCCTCAAATAACTGTTATACAGAATAAAGAATAAAACCTTTTTTTTTCAATGGACCAAAGGCGTGGGTATTTTTTTTTGTATTTTTTTTTCCCCCACTTCGTTGTGGAAAGGCTTCGTTTTTCCACCTTTTCTCCTTGGGCCAATTTACTGGGGTCTGGGGTGAGGTTTGCTTACAAAGCTGGATTTTGTTTCAAATAAAGTTCAGTGTTATGAGCCGGCTTGAGGTAATTCTGTGGGCAACGCTCTTAAATACCTGTTAATGTCTGCTATATGAAGTTAATTAACTGCAGCATTTATTAATGCAAACACATATTTACCATTGAAAGCATTACAGAATCACAGAATGACATGGGGTTGGAAGGGACCTCTGGAGATCATCTTCTCCAACCCCCTGCCAAAGAAGGTCCACCCAGAGCAGGTCCCACAGGAACATGTCCAGGTGGGTTTGAATGTCTCCAGAGAAGGAGACTCCATCACCTCCCTGGGCAGCCTCTTCCAGGGCTCTGCCACCCTCACAGCAAATAAGTTCCTTCTCATGTTTAGGTGGAACTTCTTATATTCAAGTTTGTGCCCAATTCCTCTTGTCCTGTCACTGAAAAAAGACTGGCTCCATCCTCCTGACACCCACCCTTGAAGTATTTATAGGTGTTGATCAGATCCCCTCTCAGTCTTCTCTTCTCCAGACTAAAAAGACCCAAGTCCCTCAGCCTCTCCTCGTAAGAGAGATGCTCCAGGCCCCTCATCATCTCTGTAGCCCTCTGCTGTCCCCTCTCCAGCAGTTCCCTGTCCTTCTGGAACTGGGGAGCCCAGAACTGGTCCCAGTGCTCCAGATGGGGCCTCCCCAGGGCAGAGCAGAGGGGCAGGATGACGTCCTTCCACCTGCTGACCACGCTCTTCTTGATGCCTTCCAAGATGCCATTGGCCTTCTTGGCCACAACGGCACATTGCTGGTTCATGGTCATCCTCTTGTCCACCAGGACTCCCAGATCTTTCTCCTCAGAGCTGCTCTCCAGCAAAGCATTCTCTGTTGTGTGGCGAGGGAGCAGCTCGGTGGCAGGAGTTGGCTGGAAACCTGGCGCAGAGGGACTCTCTCCTCCAAAGGACTCTCTGCTCCATGGCAAAGAGAAGGGGTCATGGTTTTGCTCCACTTCACTCGCTGTCTGAGGTTGACGGTGCTCCAAGCTGCGTTTGGGGACCAGTCTTTGGTCCTCCAAGAAAAAAATGGGCAATACTAAGATAGTTCATATTTTATATTGAGCCCTACTGACTCTATGGGTTCTGCTGAATAGATGGATCGCTGCCTGCAGAGTGTATGTTGAATGTATACACCAAGTCACTGGGGCTCAGCTGGAGTCTCAAAACCATGTCTCTGCATGTGTAGAGTTCCTGCACGTGCTTCCTCTTCGTTTGCAAAACTGTACTGGTTTCATAGTACATAACCTGGGTTCAAATTGCCACCCTCTTTTTTTTTTTTTCTTAATGTCACCTGGAACATGACACATTTGTCCCCCTGTGGCCTGAAGTGTATTTGTAGGAAGGATCATCTTAGCTCCTTCTTTATCATCTCTGTAGTTGCCTTTTCCCCCCTCCACTTCAAACACCGTCGTTATCATGCCCTATCTACCAAATCCATGACTTCTCGTGTGCTGCCTCTTTTCCAGCTTTTCTAACAAAGCTGTCTTTATCAGATCCCTAATTCTGAGTCGGGAATAGCCTTCCCCAGGCGCTGTGCTGAACCACCTTGTCATCTTTGTCTTCAGTCTTTTCTGTTTGCTGTATCTTGCCTTCCCATAAATCCTGCCATCAATGGAAAGGGGAAGGGAGAAAGCTTTGTAGCCAGCTTAAGGCTCAGTGTTGTTCCCAGGTAGCTTTTTTTTTTTCTTTTTGGCCTTTTTTTTTTTTTTTTCCCCAATATTGTGATTTAATTTAGATGGTGGGTTCTTTGAGGCAAAAGCCTCCCTGCTTGCGTATGTGGAAAGTGCTGTGAATACTAATGCAACTATTTAAATGCTGAATTAAAAATATCAGGGGAGAGGTGCCCAAACCTGAATCTTCTTTAAAGCTAATATAAAAGAGCTGGATTTCTGTTTGCTTCTGCAATAGAGGGGAAACGCACACGAGCCACATTGGTACACTAAGATTAAAACTCTTCTTTTTTCCTATTTTTTTTGCCATTTCTTTGCTGTCTGTTCAAAGCAGCGATGCTGGTAAAGGAAAGGGAACTTTAATCTCTTGCCTTCAGAATAAAAGACTGGGCGTTCAGATCCCTCAGTGAATGTGCACATGGCCTTTAATTTACTTTAGTTATAAACCGGATATCTCTGGACATATTTTTTTTGCTTTGCTGCTGGGTTATTAGCATAAACCAGCTCTAAAGGTTTTAATACACAACCCAATAGCTAAAAGTCAGAGCAAGAAACCGGTTTTGTTGTTCGTAGTAATAATATTCAGCCCTACAATGGTCTGAATTTCTGCTTTATTTTATTACAATCAAGAGAAAATTCTTATATCCAATTCTCAACAATATGATATATAACCATAACGTTGCGATTTTGACTTTCATATTTTTTCATGAGAATGTTTGCTCACTATTGCACGCTACTCAACTATTTTATTAGTTCAATGTTAGCACACTTAATTCTCGTTTGCTTTTAAATTAAATATTCATGTTGAATCTCTGAACTTCAGCAAAAAAAAAATAAAAAGCTGGAGAAATTCAACTTTAACTCTTTAGAGAATGTAATTTATTTCCTCTAATAGGAAAGAGCTGTGGATTACATTCAGGCTGTATTGACTTGTCCTTAGGCAATCCCAATTTATCTTCTCTCCAGGGTTAGCACTTCAAGATACTCAAATCAATCAATGAGTTATCATCCCCTGAAGTTTGTGGCCTGAATTCATAAAGATTAATTTCAATAAAGTTTCTACCTCTATTCAAAGGAGACTGCAAAATCAAACGATCCAATTACAAATTTATCAAATATTAATCATGAGAATCTTCCATATCTTTCTGATGCCAACATTCTTCTCCCCTGGTGTCAGGAAAGTAATTAGCAGCTGGCTTTGATTAAATTCTTCCCTCAGAGATTACTTTTCTCCATTTGGGGGAGAGGAAGGAACGCGCACAAGATGATACCTAATTCCTCATTTTAAAGTCTTTTCTGAAAATTGCACATAGGTTCAGTTAACAGGGCACTCCTTTCCATGAAGATGGAAGAAACAGTCTGTATCTGGGAACCTGCAGCAATTTTAACAGTGAAACCTGGAGTTCCCCACCAGCTTTTCCTGTTGTGTTACTGGGATGATCTTTTTCCTTATCAGGTCTTTTTATTTGGTGACAATGGCTTCTTCCTGGCAGCTTGAACGAGGAAGAGTCTCAGCAGCTGCCGCAACATCAGAGCGAGAGGAACCCTCCCTCTCACCACCACCTTCTGCCTGAAAACCAAACTCCAAGCCCTTGTTGATGTTCTCCTTCACCATCCCCTGACCTGCTGGATTCCTTGGTCTGCAAGCAGAGGAGTCAGAGGTGCCTCTGAGGAGCTTTTTTGGTGTCTAAGACAAAGCAAAAACTCTGCTCTTCCATCTTGGAGGTCTTCAAAACTCGATGGGAGGAGGTCCTGGAATTGGGCTGGAGACTTCCAGAGATTCAGGGTGGAAATGTGGCTTCTCCCTTGATCGGGTGCTTCTGTGCTCATGAAAATCAAGTTTCTTCTCACACAAACATCAGATGCTCCTGGAGAGTTCAGTGTCAGCCAGTTCCTGCACTGGTACAGGTAGACATGGCATCCTCTGTATCTGCTCAGCTCCATGGCACTGCTGTTGCAACCTGTTTGCTTGGGTTGTGTGTGATGGACCTGGATTCCTGTCCTCTTCAGTGCAGAGGAAGCTTTTCTGTCTTTCTGCAGAGAACCACATACTGTTCCTGGAGCACGTTCGCTGTGATATAAAGCTCATCCTTGAGAGGGTTCTCCTGTCCTCTTCACCTGTTGCAGGAACGACGCCTTAATCAAAACCTCTTTGTCTTCATCATTATTTGTTAGCTGAAAGCACAAATTTTGAAGCCCGTCCAAATAGAGGCTTTTGGAATTTTTTTTCCATCGGCATTGGAGCTGTGGTTTTCACGTGTTTTCCCAAAGCCAGGGTTTCATCCCTGATGTGGGTCTTTGCTGTTTATGTGGCTCAGTTCACCCTGCAGTTAATCAGGTGTGATTCATCCGAGGGCAGAGGAATTCTACCTGATTGTGAACAGTGCTGTTTTTTGGTTTTTTTTCATTTGTAGGTGCTTATCTGAATACTGCAGGAGCTTGTTAAGTGGTTGTAAAAATACTGAGATATTCTTTATTCTCATTGTACTTATATATGAAACTGTAAAACGCATTTTAAAGTATCTCCGTTTCTGTGCAATGATGGATGGTGCTGGCGCTTGCAATTTACCTAATGGCATCCATTAAACTTCATTAGGACTTTGTTAAACCCAAGTTAAGATCGTTGACAT